AAAAGAGCACTTAAGGCATATTTACCATCACTGCTGACATCTGCTGGAGAAAACAAGTGGAATCCTCCACACAATCCAGCTTGTTCTGGCTTTTTACCATTCCCTAGCTTAGACCCACTGAAACATCTTAGCAGCTCTACCAGTTTTTTCAGGGAAGAAATACTGTTCCACAGGAATCTACAGGGTTTGAGAGACCAGAGCTGACTCACACCCAGCTAACCCTGTGGCACTAAGTGGGCTTTAGCAACTTTGCAGACATTGACAAAGCGTGGCCAAGAACAGATCCAGCAAGTGCATCTTCTCCCTGGAGACAGCCAACACTGCTGCCTCCAGGATTCTTCCAGCCTCTGGTGGGATATTTTTCTAAAAGTGAAGAATTTCATATTAGAAAAGAATGCATTGCTCTGCATGGAGACAGGTACAAAATGCTGTTTTAAAAAATTATTTTACTCTGTTCATTGTTTCATATCACTTTCCTTAAGTATCTTTGCCATCTGAAAAGTCCTGAGGTCAACTTCCTATTTTTTACCCTCAAGCTGCCAGTTTTCTTCCCTGCCCTCAGCTGGTGATGTCAGCAACTTGTCTTGTCATGCTTTTAATGTCTTAACAGCTTTGGTCAGGTTACTGTAAAATCCAGATATGCTAGATGGAAAAAAGGAATCCACCACTGTCTGGGGAAGGAAGCCACCAAGATCCGTCTGAAAGAAAGTGAGGAGCTGAGTCCTGTCTGGTTCCCTGCAAAGACAATGCAAGTGATTTTACAGCCAGCAGTTTAAGAGCATTAAGAACTTTTCAATGACTCTTACATGTATTAGAATAGGTACTTCTAAGAACTTTTTTTTTTTTAACAAACAGGCAAATTGCAGTGAATGCAGCTATCAAATTACAGATTAAGTAGGCCCTACCTGACTCTGCTTATAAATTACTATAAATTATAATAAACAACTAGATACTCAATTACCAAAAATTAAGACCGTATTTGTATGTTTTGCTGAATCTCTGCTTAAGAGGTCAGTGAGAATCCTACCATGATGACAGTTCCTGTAACACTGAAGACTTCCCTCTGGGAAACGAAGAGAAACTAACTCATTGCCCAAAAATGAGAACACAAAAAGGGCACTTAGTCATAATGATTACTAGGAAGACAGAAACATGCCATTGCCAAAAGGCTACAGGTCACATGTGGCCACATACACATTAACACACCACACAATAGGTAAGAAGAGCTTTAGGATTCAAAACTGTCAAAACAGATCATTTCTTACCCTGGAACAGGTATACAGAGACAGCCACAGGGGTAATTAAAACCTCTCACAAAATCTGGTCGAGGAGGACACAGCAGGTGTTCCACATTGGTGGCTGTAAGAAAAAGCAGTGAAGAAAAGTGTCATTCTTACAGAAGATGGGAGAGTGCTCAGTACTCAAAGCACCAGCTGGGAAGCAAACTCACTATATAAAAATATATTTAAAAAGAATAGCAATTTAACCCTCCTAGGGTGGGGCTGTGTCATGAAACTGTCAGGAAAGACCATTAAAAGGAACCACCCTGACCTCAGAATGGCGAAATCAAATAAGGGTTGAATTTAGAAGCAATTGTTACTGAGCTCTGAAGGAAGTATCAGGATACTTTGAGGGAGTTTCACTGAACCTATGTTGTGCAAGGTCATTCAGGTTACACCTCCAATAAAACCATGTCACATGGATATGCCCCTGCTGAAAAGCTACACTCTAGCAAGTATATAAATTCCTGGCAAGGCATTCCTGAACACAGTGGGCAAATGGGGCACCTGGAACAGTGAAGGAATAAAAGCACTGACTTGGAACAGTTAAACCATAGGGTGAAAAAAACAAAGAGATGTCCTTCCATACAGAGGCAGCCCCTTAAAGATCAGGACTATATTTGTTTTCATAAAAACAATCATTTCCATATATAGGAGTGGTACATTTATTCAGTGGCTTCATCAAAACCTAGACGCTGTCCAGAAAATGTTAAAATGGGATTTAGCCTAAACAGAACTTCTTTTAAAAAGTTCTGTAAATTCTTAAAACAGCAAAAACACACACAAAATACTCCAGAAATTAATAGTAAATTAAATACTTATTCAATCTCGAAAGCATAGCAAGGGAAGAAACCAGCCAACAAGTATCATCATCACCTGAGTGTTAAGATGATTTATATATACTGAGAACAACAACACAGAGAGACAACTACTATTTTATCTTCTGATCAAGATCAAGTCAACCACTTCTGAGCAGCATGTTATTTAATTTTTATTTCATATTTGTTTCTGGTAGCTGCTGGGTATCTCCTAATGTAACATGAACCCATTGAGAACACCAGTGCCTCACCAGCAGACAGTATTGTCCCATCTTCATACTGCTTCATTACTACCACATCCACAAATTCTCTTGGTGAAATAATCCTCATGAAAGCTGAAGGGGTTGTGGTTCTGCATACAGAGATAGTCTGGAAATAACAAAACAGAGTTATTCAGTTGATGCTTTCAGAAGTACATCAGAAAAATACCTCTACTTCTCGGTACACTTTCAGTTATGCTTTCTAAGCTGCATCAAACAGTTCTGCTACACCCTTTGTTGAATAAAATATAAATCAGCACAGTCAAAAGGCACTATCCTGCATAGATGAAGGACAGTTTAATGGAGAAAAACATAGTGATAATGTGTTGCTTCCAGGTTGACCAAGGGCAGATATGACAAGAGATGCTGAAATGCAAATCTGGCACATCTACGGCCATAGGACAGTTAAAACGCCTCTTGTTCCCAGGAAGCGAGCAAATATAACTTCTTAGTGTCATATACATGGGATACAACTTGATAACCCACTTTGTTACACTGCAGAAACATCAATGCTACCATCCCTTTCTGTGGAGGCTCTGTGATAAAAGGCTTCCCAAAACAGCCATTCTATCACACTGGTAACTGCTGGCAACTCTATGAATTTCAAGCAGGAGGTTGCAGTATTCCTCAAGTTTATAATGAATACAAAATGCCTCTAAAGTTCCCCCAAGAAAAACAAATTTCACACGACTTCCACAAGCATTTCTGGGACTGGTTGTGTTTGCACCAGGCTGCCTCCAAGCACCTACATATATTACAGATTTGGGAATTTAAATCCAATGCCTTTTAAAAACTCTAAAGAAAAAAAAAAAAAAAAAGAAGAACTAGACTGTATAACTGCAGTAGCAGAAGCTACTGCTCATACATAGCCCCGTTCATCTGTCATGCTCCACGTGCAGCATCTCCATTTTAATGACAGAGACAGAGGTAAATCATTAGGTCCAAGGCCCACTAAAGGCAGTGCAGTGCAGAGCGTTGTGTGCTGCCATGGTGAAAGATGAGGCCTGAATTAAAGGTTGGTGACATGAAGGCTTCACTGCTTAGCTAAGTCTCTATATTGTCTAAACCTCCTCTTTCCTCACAGAGAGCTCATTAAAAATAATCATACCTAGCTTGACTTGCAGCATTAACAACAACATAGGGTGGGAATCTTTAATGCTATGCATTTGCATATCTTAAGTATGCAGTATTAGGTAAGAATGTACCAGCAGCTCCTTTCAGAAAGAAAGGCCATTATTTATACATGTCAATAGAATATATAAAATTGATGGAAAAGAAAAAAAAATGAAAGAAAAAAACAGGTTTGTAATCCCAGTATTGTCAAACTAATCCAGACAGAGACACTACACAACTTTTTTAAGACCTCTTTACCTCCCTGCAGATAACACTGGCTGTCTCCCGAGGCAGGACAGGAAGGGCTGTGCAGAGCCCAGCGCTGCTCAACACACGCTGCATTCATCTCACCAGGACAGTTTTTAAGGAACTTACATCGGTGAGGGCTTCGATGACCTCGAAGTCCTTCACGTTTTGGTCCCATTTGGTCCTGAGCCCGCCGGCCACCGGCTTGATGCATTCCCAGACATCCCGCGGGCTGGCGGGCAGGATCCCCTCTCCCCTGTACCTGCGGCGGGACGAAACGAAACCAAACGTTTCCCCCCTACTCTGCCCGGCCCCTCAGCGCGGGGACGATCCCCCTCACCCCGGGAACGGGCCGTACTCACAGGTTACCAGCGAACTCCGTCGAGGGTCTCCACGACACCGCGACCTCGCCCTGCGGGACGGGAAGCGTTCAGCCGCCGGGCCGGCCCCCAGCCCTCCCCTCCCCGCCGCGGCCCCGCTCACCCACCGTGCTCCGGCAGCCCCTCCAGCCGCCGGGGTCCCGCCGGTAGAGCTGCAGCTGCTCGGCCGCCGCCTCGGCGCGCTCCTCACGCTCCATGGCGGGCGGGCGGGGCCGCCCCGCCGCCTTTGAGCGCCCGCGCCGCACCGCCCCTGGGCCCACGGCGGCACCGCCCCATCAGCTGAGGGGCAGCCGGGCCGGTCCTGCCGCGCCTCCCGCCGAGCGGGGCTGAGGGAACCCGGCCCGGCATCAGCGGGGCTGCCCTCCGAGGCCTGCGGAGAAGCGAGCCCCGGTACCGCGGGAAGGTCACAGGCATCGGGGCCGGAGCGCTGCCGAGCGCTTCCCTAGAGATGGGCCCGCCCCGCGCCCGCACAGCGTGATCCCAGTCCCAGTGACATGGGCCGGGGAGGAAGTGGGGGATAAAAATCTTCAGCGTCTAAAGAGAGTGTAAAATTGCAATTGTGCGCGAAAAAAACGGGATAGAATTTAGAATTCAGTTAGGAGCAGTGAAGCGAGTTTTTTAAAGGCCACAGATCGAAAGTTTTCCTCTCTGAGAAGCTTATCAGGCTGGGCCGAGTCTCACCAGAAATTTGACAGAGGATCTAGGATTTAATCTAGAAGGTTGGCACGCTTTGCTATGATCAAATAACTCTATTACCCAGGGATTATTATGCAGGGCCTTGTAATAAAATCTCACTATTTGCTGTAATTAACTTTTTTCCCCCTGATTCGTTTGAGCCACAGTATATTCAAATAAGGCACATGAAGATGTCATACTCTTAAGTAGTAACACCATTTGTAGGAAGCTGATTCCTGGCTGAATTTATTCAATGGAAGCATCTTTAGCTGTGACTGTGTCAGATAAAGAGAACTTCATCTCATATTTTTGTACTGATTCAAAGGAAGTGCCCCAGGTACACAGCTTTTGATTTTCCAGTACGTGGATATTTTGGTTTTTTTAACAGCATAGCAGTAAGGAACAACTTGGAATATTTTTCTCTTGCAACATACCAGTTGTGATATTAAAGCAAGGTACAGTAAAACACAAGGCTAACTATGCTTTTTCCACCTCGAGTAGCTGCATACACAGTTGTTACAAAGACTACTAATTCTCACAATTACTCTGGTAAACCTCAAACAGCAAATTCAATACATGCACGTACACCTGTTGAAAACACATAAAAGCTTGGGGCACTTTCTCAGACATTTGAGCATACCAGTTCGTTAGACTCAGGCATACTTAGATCAACACTGTTTTTTGATTTCTTTTTGGTGAGTTTTGTTCCAGATTTTGGATACTTGTCCTTGCTGTGAATGACCTGGATGTACTGGTCATTGCTGCTGTTCTGCGGATCACTGCTGGATTCAATGGAAATGGAATCAGATTCTGTTAGAGATTGCTCCAGTTTTTGCTTTGATTTTGGTTTCACACGGGGCTCAGGATAGTTCAGGTGTACTTTTTTGTAAGCATATGGAGGCCTGTCCAGTTCCAACTCGAAGCCATCATCCCAGGATTTGCAATGCACTCTGGCAGCATGTTCCCCGATGTAAAACCGTGGTGCTGGGCGAAGGTCAGACAGTGAGCGAGGGCGGTGAGATCTGCTCATTAATTCTCTCCCAAGTTCTTCCTCATCCTCCTCGTCTTCACTGGGATGAGAGGAATACATCTCGTGAGGTGTTCGAACAACGTATCTTCTGACATGGCGTGGATACAACTCAATAATGTCTCCTGCCTCCTCCTTTCTGAAATGCCTTTGGAGTCGGGAGGTAGAACGGAGGGATTTTTTGCGGGGCTCATTTTCATTAACCAGAAAATACCTGGTAGCATATGGTCTACATTCCACGAAAACAGGAGCCCCTGCCCCAAGGGCATCTGGATTTACCTGCCGAATGGCTTTTCTGAAGAGAGGCTCAGAATGAATATCTTCACTGTGCTTTTTGAAAGTCACTGGTGTGCAGGACTTCGTTTTGCAGAGCTCACTTGTGCTCCTATGCACAACACCTGGGTATCTTTAGGAAGGAAAAAAAAAAAAAGAAAATACTGAAATACTTATCAATTAATGTAATTAAAACATAAAAAATTTGTTGCCCTCGAAGTCAAACACTAGGTTGAAAGAGTGGAGATCATCGTATTTCCACTGTTCAAATTTTTAGAACCATTCTGAGAAACATAGCCCAGAAATTAGGAGATATATTTGTTCTCCCTGGGAAAAGGCCACAGGCATTGACCTCTCATGTTATGTTCCCTTTCTGTTTTCTTATTATTCAGAGAACTGTTCTTTATCTATCACACAACAGGTAGCTTAAAGCATCAATCAGCTGATGTCCTAAACTGATTGCACTACAACTAGATCTGCATAGAATCCCTTCACTCTTACTGTGTTTGTCTTGTTCATGGAAACAGTATCCCACACAAATTATTTTAGTTATGTGCCTGAGGGGAAGCTTAGTGTTTACCTTTGCTCAAGGTATGTGTAAACTCCATCAACTACATCATTTCAAAAGGTTTATAATCCCATCTCAAGTGAGAGTTATGGAGGTGGTGTCACCAGCAGTATGAATAGTCCCCCTGAATTAATCTGCTTTTAAAAAATTTCTCAGCTAACAGCTCCAGACAGACTGAATGCACAGCTATCTCGTAAATAAACACAGCTATTTTGTCAATAAACACACGTATGTCATGGAGCTGCTGGAATAAATGCCATTTCAAAACCAAAGCAGACTTACCTGTTTGTGATATGATCATTTCTTGGTTTCTGTACGCTTGTTATGGAGGGAGCTGGCGTTAAAGAGGTTGAAGTTGTGGGAGTTGCGTTGACAGGTCTTGCAACATCAGTTGATGGCACCGTTTGTGGCACAGATTGGGAAATGGTTTGTATTCTGGTGCCTTTGCTCACGGGAGATTCAAAGTTCAAGACGCTGCCATTCTTTCGGGGAGTTGAGGACCGAACAGAAGACTCCTGGCTGATAATATCATTGTCTTGGTCTGGTCTCTTGTCATTACTATCCAGATTTTGGATTCTGGCTAGAGAACAGAAATTATTACAGGAACTATCCAGGTCTCTATATTTAGAAGCTGCTGTGTAAATACAATGGCTCAAATTCCCCCTTCAGTCAGGGATCCAATGCCAACAGAACCTGCTGTGTTCAGAAAAGAGAAACTGGTGCCACGATGGGAGATGAGGTGGATAAAGGAGTGGATCCTCATACTAAAGTACGTGGCAGATGGAGTATTGAGGACACAGAAAAAACCCTGGATGTTGCACTGTAGGATTCCAAATTGGGCAACAAGCCAATACCTCTTTTCAAGAGACACAATTTGGTTCTCAACACACACAATACAGTTTTTAAAATGTAGTTGTAGCTCCCTATCTGTTTGAGAAATCAAAATGGTTTTGCATCCAAATGCTTAATTAATAGTGGCATTTCTAAAGCTCTCCTACTTACCTACTGCCATCTGAACCACCTTTTTCTTATCTTCAGTTCTTTCCTAAAATACATTCAGAAGAATGGGAAGCAGTAAATTATTATAGATTAGAGAGTAAATCCACTTCTTTGTAAAGATTAAACATATAGGATTTGTTTTACAGTGTTTTATGAAACACTGGAAATTACTGTAGTGATTTAATTAGGCTTGTACCTTACTGAAGACCCACCAAATTACATGTAAAAGTTCTGTGCACTGTACTTACTGTTTGGATCTTCATTCTCAGTTGATTGTTGGTGAATTTTAATGATCTTGCAATACTTTGTAGGTAGTAGATTAGCATGCTAGAAGTAAAAGAGGTGATATGAGTTACTTCAAACATTCTTGACACAGTTTCCCTTTGAGGGTTTATAGGTCATCAACATGATGTACAGGTTCAGTTGTTGCTCTGTATCATTTTCTTGTACAATGATAATCGATCACAGCCTTCTTTCAAGCAAACACATAAAAGAAATAAATGACACTGAAAACAGATTTAATTGCAGCTCTAATTTCACCTGTGTTTTCTACAGCTCTTTTCATTGTCCATGTAACCCTGGGTGCATTTCTGGATTTTTTTTTTTTTTTTTAGATTCTGGAAATGTAATTTTGATAAATATTATCTTGGTTTTTTTCCCGAGTCCAAGGTTACGGAACAGAGACACCAGAACTGCAGCTGAGCTTGCACACTCATACCAATGTAATTTTGTTGGCTGACTGAAATAACACCTTGTTTACCCTGGCACAGCTCGAGATCAGATCCTGGCAGGTTATGGCCTGACATAATGGATTACACTGGCTTTCTGATGAAGTAAAGTCTCTAGCTAGACTTCATACCACAAATATTTACACATGTGCTTTGCCCTCAGTTCGAAACAGTCGATAGATCTACTTAAATTTGTAAATATGTTCATATTTCCATGACCGGGATCTTAGAGGAAAAAGTTACAAATAGGAAGTGTTGCCTTGATCTTTCTCATTTGTTTGAAAAACCCACTGGCAGAACAAACTCTGCCTTTGTCTTCAGTTTACAGGGAGAATAATGGTACAAAGCTACATGCAAGACAAAAGATGTTTCATAGAAGCAAAGTGAATTTCCAACATCTCAAAGTTGATATTAATTCCCAGCTAGGAACAATTATTTAGAGTCTAAGTAAGAAAAGACTTCCACTGGAGAGTCTGCAGCAAGTTATATTAAATTAACACTTAAGAGCAGACAGTCATAATTGATTTATCTCGTCAGAAATCAGGATGACTGAGTAGCTTCTTTAAAAGACAGACTGAGCCCTGTTCACTGTCATAAACTGAACTGAAGACCATGAGGAAATGGAAAAATTATTTCTGATGAACTCTTGAGAGGGAACTTAACTTCCTGGAAAAAGCAGCACTGCAAGCCTTGACACAATATAATGAGCTTGCTCTAACACAGTATCCCAAAACAAGAAATTCCTTTTGATAATGCAGTAATAGTCTTTAACATACTCTTATTCCTGTCTGATCCATACACCATATATTCAGTGAGGTGTTGGATTGTTTTTTTAAGCACATATGCTTAATAAAATTGCAAAAATGCAGTGTTTGTTCCTCAGTATCAACATTTGACTCTCCAGAGATATTAGGCCAGTATTAATACAATCAATTTAACCTGCCTGTGAAAACCAAAGTACTTACAATAAAAGCAGTAGTGCAGGAAGGACAACCACAGGACTGCTGATGTAAGTAATCACTGTGTTGAACCATGTGGGAAAATCATTTTGAATCGTTTCAGAAACAATATCATATATTTTTTCTTGACCACTATATGAGGTGGAGGGGCAAAAAAGGTAAAATTAAGTTGCAAGTAATCCTAGGTATATTTGTTAAACAATGTTGCACTGAATAAACAAGACAGTTTTATCCAAAACTACTTTGGAACATTACAGTGAAAAGGGGAAAAAAAAAAAAAAAAAAAAAAAAAAGCAACTTGTTCATTACTTGCTTTTAAACACTGTTTTTCCAAAGCACAAAAGCATTCACCAACCTTGGAGGGTGCTTGAATTGAGACACAAGACGGTGACACGTGTGAGATTACATAAAGCAATGCAATGTGCCACTGAGCAAACGTAACTGAGCTGTGTCTATAGAGCAAATACACTCAGAACAATGACATATTCACTTTATTAAACCTTAAACTGTAAAACATTGGCAGTAGAAAAGTATTGTGGTTTTTTATTTTTACATCTATAATTTGTTTATTATTAAACCTGAGTTTATCATAAGAGGGGGAAATAGAATCTTTGCAATTTTCATTAGTCTGTTCTAACTTACCTGAAGGGTCCGCAGCTTAAAGATGGTTTATATCTGGCGATAGCAAAAATTGTTGGTAACATGCATAAGAACAACATAAACAGCAACATGGCCAAGTAGAAATTATTGGACCTGCAAGAAGGTGCAACAAATGTTTCAGATTATACTAATTAGAGTGAAAAAGAGGCAACTTAAAAGGTTCAAGTCTGTGTCTTCCTATCAACATTTCTGAAACATTAAAATCATTCTGCTATAATTAGAAAGCCTGGACAGAGCTGGTTTAGACAGACTCTTAATGATCAAAATCCTATTTACACTGCTTTCCAGATACTGCTGCGGCAGCCAGAGAACTGTTTACTGCACCTTTTGATAAAAACTGACCTTACTGCCCAGTTGTGTTGGGGGAGAAAAAGAACAGTGGCAGAAATTGATTCATCTTCAAGACATGTTAGAAATAATGGATTCTTAAGAATTAAAGATGCCTTAAATTATTTTCATTTTGAGTAAACAAGATATTCATCATGATAGAAGAAAAATGGGGAAAACTGTTGTGTGAGGCAACAGACAAAAGCAGATAGAATTCACAGCTTTCAAGGAGACAAACATGAGAAAATAGGACTTGGGACAGTTAACACATCTAGGTTGTTTTGCTCCATCATATTTGTATGGAAATAAAGCATTTATATTAGGCCATATATAGCTGTCTAGGAATATTCCCTGACATATTTTTCAGTCTTGCATATCTTCAACTACCCTGCTTTACAAGCCCTCCAGTGTCTCAGTAACTATGTTTTTTTCCACAGACCTTTGCTATCAGTATTACTGTGAAATTTGATTGTCAACTTTCAGAGCTAAAATCTCCTTAATTTGATTCATATGCACATTTCCATTGTCTGCATTTGATTTATTCCCTCTCTTTAGTTCTCATTCTGACTCACCGAGATGCTCTGAAAACCTGCTGATGTGGTACATTGCACGTTAGCACAGCCCAGCTCCTGAGATACATGAGTCCAATCAACTTGAGAACATTGAATGCTGGTAAGCAAGGTGAAAAGAAAGCTCCCATCCTGGAAAAATAATGTCATGTCAGTGCTCAATATTGCCAGAAACCATTCGAATGGCAACAGGATATACGAAAAAAAGACACTGCCAACAGGAACACAGTAGCTGACTATTAACAGATGATCTGTTAATGTTAAAGACCATATTACCAATATGCTACTTGAATAGGTTTCTTTGAAATCATCAGATTGACTTAGCAATCAGACAGCAAAGAACAAGAAAAATCACTTAAGGGCTACATACCAGATCATTCCTTGGTTGTAGACCAAATGCAATACATTCTCTGCAATTTTGAATTCTCCATATTCTGGCTACAAGAAACACAGTACAAGATGAATACCTTTGTCTTAATCTTGTTTTCAGAACATTTATTTGAAGCGTTTGACTGAATTAGTTTGCAGACAGCACACGGCCTGAAACATCCAGATCAAATACCAGCTTTTGGCAGGCAGTGGGAAAGCAGCAAAACCTACTCTGCAGCCAGGGATTAAATGAACTAATTCCTCTCTAGTTTACTTAATTTCTTTAGTTAAAGACAAAGAACACTCCTCAGCCTTCTATAACAACAGCTTCTTGCTAACCAAGTATTACCCACTGTAGTTTTCTTAAAGGGCTGTTAGCTGTTGGTTATAGTATGTTGGACCGCTGTCTATGCTACAGATCGATGTTACAGCTACAGAAAAGAGTAGGGAGCAACTCCATGACCTCTGTCTCACCTTTGACTCTGTAATTGCTCCGTGATCTCATTTTGGGAAAATGCACCAGAGACATGGGAGTGGGCTTGAGAAAAACATTCAGTCTCAGCATTTACCCTGTGCCCTCCAATTTAAACTCAGTGTGAGCTGTGCCTTTATAGATGTGCGCTACCAAGAAATTGTTCATCTGTGGAAAGACTTTAAGGACATTGAGTACTGAGGGAAAGAGCCCTCCCATCTTCAGCAGTTTGATAAAATAAGGACTGTACTTACAAACTTGCTTTCTAGATCCCAGCACCAGCAGTCACTTAAATATCGGACACACAGTCCACGGAAAAAATCAATCAGCAGGATGCTTGCGACTGTGAAAATCATGTCGATAATTGAAAGCTTTAACATCTCCTGAAATACACATTGTTCACACATACTGAGTCATTCTGAAAGCAAATGGACTGCATGTGGCTCTTTTGCATTTGTTCTTGTATTTTTGGCTCAGCTCAGTATTCTGATAAGATATGAGTTGAATCTATAAATTACTTCCTTTTAAGCTTTTCCCTTACTTGTCTTTGTTCTGGCAAAGAGAATAAATATAATCAAGCTTCCAGGGTGCCTTCTACTGCTTGCAGCAATAAAACTCTGGTTATGATGGTATCGATAATTTCTTTTTAATGACTGTTCTGAGAATTTATGTAGTGCAACTGAAACAGGATGGTTTTTCTATTGCACCCAGTCCTTTATTAAACTGACTGTTGCAATACATACTTGCTAAGTGCTTCACAATGAGAAAAATCCTATTATTCATACAAACCCAAACCCCAATGGCATAGGACCATCAAACCATAAAACAGAGATTTTTAGTGCTTACAAAGGAATGGGGTTATCCTATATTTAATTGAGCTTTCAAAATATAAAATTAAAAAGTTCAGTTCTAAACTCCTCTAGCTGGTTCCAAACATTCAAACCTCCTTAGTTCCTATGAGACTGTACAAAAGGAAGAGGGTTGTACAAGAATAGAAGTCAGGCTAATAAAACTAGGAGGGGTCTTTTTCTCCCAACAGTCAAATAAGACCTTTAATATGCTCACTCTGGAACACAGAGCTTAGCAAGTCAAAACCACACCAGCATCGTTCTTAATCTAGCAGCCTAGACATGAGTGTGACTGAAAGAGATCAGAGCCTCAAATTACACCTTTTGCATTTTGTGTGGTTAAAATTTCTCTCTCTGTGTGTTGGTGCCCCTGACAGTCATTCGAAATAAAGGCCACAAATAATATACCCTTCACACATAGGGAAGCAAAAAGTGTCATTGAATCTGTGGATTTTCTTCACCCCAGTATGGCAACGTGGCACTGCCACCCAACCGGTCCCTTTCCTGCAAATTGATGGTATTTCGAAACCTTTTGTTCTTGTCTTCTCTCCCTCTGAAGAAGTGAAGAGCACTTGATTCTCTAGTGATTTACTGAGGCAGAATAAATAGAGGCTTTAGAGATATTGTGCAAATGACCAAGAGCACAATCTCGTGCTTGTTTTGGGTCTGCATCTCCATGTATTGAGGCAGCAACCTGAATCTGCACAGGGTGCATGTTGTTGCTTATATGTTTTTATAGTCATCTTTCTCTATATGAGTTAGTGGGATGTATCCTATTAGAATGGGATTCATATCATGCATCTGTACAGATCTGCCTGTGCAGAGCTGAAGACAGAGACCAAACCCTGGCAAAAAGAACATTTGTACAACACTAAACTTATTGTGGATATCAAAGAAAATCCAAGTTTGTATCTGTGGCCTATGACTTAGCATAGTCTTTACTCATTCTACACAATCCTTAGCTAAATTAGCTGAATTCTGGAATTTATAGGAAGAAGAGCTCTAAAACTGAACACAGCACAACATGATTTTAATTTTTTGTCAAATGTAGATTAGGAGTAAGATGATGACATAATAGAACAGTTACGTACTTGACCAACATACGTCTCCCAGCACTGATCCTGTGGGTTCTGGGTGTTAAAGGAAGTTGTTTTGTTAACCAGTGATTCAGAGACCATCAAATCTTGAGCATGATGCTCTTCCAGTGTGACAATGCCGCTTCTCTTAATTTGTGCATTAGGAAGAGTTAAATTGTCATCTTTAGAAAGAGTTTTGGTTGCTAAGGAGGTGGTAGAATTACTTGCATTGTTGTTAACGCCAGAGACCTGAAATAATAAATGTCCCCAAAGTTAGTTTTTAACTCTACATAGGTGCAGATGTCTGTGCCTTCTACACACACAGAGGCATTTCTTCATACATTTTCCAGCATCAGTTGGGTGACTGTTAAGTAGTTGTCAGTGCACAGAATCAAATGGAACTTGTAAGGACAAGATTGAAAGCTGATTTTAGGTAGCTGGAAATATTTGGCCTAAAGTGATGGCTTTTTTTTTTTTTAATAGTTCAGCAGTGCACATAAATCTATTTATCTTGTTACATCAGCAGTCAAATGGATCCAGCTATCCTAAAAAACTAATTTAAAAAACTGTAAGTAAATTACTAAACTTAACATTACAATCCTATCAAACTGTAATATGTTTTAATCAATTTCAAATAAATTTTCATCTGACTTCACATAAATTACAATAAATGGAATTCTATCTGCGAAGTCTGCTAGCTTTACACATCAGAAAACACCAAGTTAAACTTACAGTGACACTCATACTGTCCACTTTATCCAGGAGTGCAATGATTAAACTGTAGAGGTTTCCCAGGTATAGAACAAGAACCCTGCAAAGAGAATAAAATACAGGCTATCAGAATTGTTATCACATGAAATTCTCATACATTCTCTGGCTTGGCTGGACTAAAACATGTGACCAGAACATATCTTGTCTCTTCCTCCCTTTCTCCCCAAATATTTCTACACTTCGTAATGCCCATACCTGGCAAGCTGGAAGCGAAGAGTGGTCCTTGGATGATACATCTCCAGAGCTGCCACAAGTTCAAAAGCAGAGGGTGCAATCATTGTGATCAGTGACACAACTACGCTTACCTACGGAACAGAAATATGCAGCGGTTTTGTAGCTTTTTATGTAGATCTTCTGTGGAGCCTTGGGAGCTGAATGAAATACTGCTGAGGCACATGCTTTGGTGATTGCTTTACTTGGAGGAGATGCTTTAAAAATTTGTTATTGACATTAGTAATAACAGTAGTCATGGTCCAAAGTTATAGGTCTGGAATACCACTCAAGAGGCTTTACTCCAGATATTGTAGCTTTAAAGTTCTACTTTATTAATTGAAATAAAAACTTAATATGTAGGAAATATCAAGCCAGCATCTTCCTCTGAAATGAATGAGTGGCTTCTCCATACCTAATCACTTTCAGTCATTCCTCTGAATGGAAATATTCACAGAACATTTGGTATCTCCCAGCTGGAATTCACTGCTGTTGTCAAAGTCAATTCCTTTCTGATCCATCAGCCCAGTGTTTGCTCAGCTCAGTTATGGGTGCAAAAGCAGAATTGTAAGTGACAGGAGAGTTTAAACTTTGACCTCACACAATAGGGACCTGCTAGAACTGCAATCTCTGTGAAATGAGGACCTGCAACCTCCCCCTGCCCACTTCAGCTCCACTAACACCTGCCAGCAGAGCAAAGGGGGCAAGAGAGTGAAGAGAGATCCAGGGAAGCACCACTCTAACCACTCATTCCTCATTTCTCCTGGCTCATATCTTGTGATTTACACCTACGTGCACACTTGCTACAGACAACCCTGAGACAGTAATCCTGCTTCTACCACAGAGGTGGCATAAAGACAGTGTACCTCATTTTTTTCCCATAGAGTCAATTCCTTTTTGATGCGCTCTAACTTTTGGGATCGATCCACGACGAAGTAGATGATGTAAATACTTCCAGCAAGTGAGAGAAGCACAAGGATGTTTGCAATAATTCTTAAGGTTATAGTCACTGCCCTAGAAGAAAAGAAAAATACAATACAGTAGGTTGTTTTATGACACCAGGGGTCATTTCTAACATGGTTTACAAGTATGAGACATGCAGTTTAGCACTGATACATTGAAACAGTGCTTTGTAAAGTACCTCTGATCTCATATACATACAAGTTTTTGCTTTTCTTCTTCTCCTGCTCCTCCAATATAGCTTCCTTGAAAGAAACACAGCATTACCATTTTAATAATGTTCAGCAAAAATAATGCACATATCTTTCACAGAAATTAAGGTATACTAATAAAAAACATCACATCCTGGAAGTGCAAGCAGAGAAACACCTCTTTGTCTTCATTGCTTTGCAGCAGTCATATGTGAGCTTTAATAGTGAAGGAGATTTCTGAGAAACAAATACACAGTAAGCAAGTACTTGTGCACTTTTGGTCATACATGTTCAAGGGGGTATAACCAGGGGTTTACACTACCAGATTTTTTGCAGGATGCACCTATAGAAACTGGGTGTCACTAGTATAATACAAAAATGTCAGAAGTTAACCTCGTTCATTGAAATACCAAAATGTCATAACTTACTAATTTATCCTTGGCACAATTTGAAGTAATTTTGTTCAATGACAATGAGAATACATCAAATTTGGGAAATTAATTACTTTTGATAACACCACATATGCTCTTAAATTCTAAATGGAAAACATCTGTATTTATAAGTATTTTATAATATTGAGAGAGCTGTAAGATGTCTCTCCATTTGTTATAGAGAGATGAAATAAACTAGTAGGATCATAAAATATCTCAAGTTGGAAGGGACTCATAAGGATCATTGAGTCCAACTCCCTGCTGCTCACAGGACTACTTAAAACTAAACCATTTGACTAAGACCATCGTACAGATGAACTCCAACAGGCTTGGTGCTATGAACCTCTCTAGGGAGTTTGAATAATAGCTGATAAAATAAAGAAGAGCAATAATTTGTGTCCAGGAAGTTATAAACCATAAGAGAGAGATATAAAACTTATTACCATTTTAAAGAGCATCTTGCAAAATATGAGATGTGGTTCTGCTTCTCCACTTATTATGAAGGAATCCCTAAGGCATAACACACTCTCTTTGCATAAAAACAATTACACATTTTATAAAGTTGTATATTTTCCTGTCAAAGCAATTGTTAACATGAATTTGACTCTAACACGTGAAATTTCATCACAAGCAAATTTGTTTCTAGTTATATAATTTCCTGTCACACATGCATTTATTTAATACACATACACAATAAATAAAGCTCTCCTGAAGGACACAATGGCCTTGCTGTGGCAGAATGTCAGCAAGTATGAGGTGCCTGCAACACCACACAGGTGTGATGCCAGCCCTCCCCTAGCCAAACAGATCTGTAAATGAATACCAAAAACCAATAGAAAGTGCAGGGGAATGAGAGGAAGGACTTACATGGCTTACAGATTAACAAGTAAATCAACTTGAAATAATTCCAAGGTCAGTTGCTCACCCTAATGCTGTTGACTATGGCAGCAGCTTTGCTCTCTGCAGCCTCAGGGTTTCCTATCAAATAGTCCCAAGCACAGAACAGTCTCCAACAGAAAGTGTAATTTTCATCAGAGGCACTTGCTAAACTCATTCTTGAGTTCTTTGCCATTCTGTAAAAAAAAAAAAAAATAACAACTATTTAACTGCTGGTGGTGTGTGAAAATGAACATGAAGAAAATCACTGATTTTGAGTTTTCAGATGTCCCTTCATTTAGAGCTACAAAAGGTTTGCAGAAATTAGTGTCATTGTTGGCAGCTTTCTGAAGAACAGGAAACAGGGTGAGGTTCAGCACATTAACTTCACTTTACAACTAGTGTAGATGTGACTCACTGTGGAAGGGCATTTTGATGCTTACAATCTTTATAGCTGACAAATAAAGCAAATAAATCTCATTAGAACTGTGGACTTACACATACTTCAGTTTTACAATCTCCAGGTAGGATCCAGCTGGAAGACACCACCACTAAGTTTGCTGTTACTGTAATTACAAGCTAGTTTGGCATAACTAGTAATCATGGATAAGATCAGTTTGTTTTCCATATTGTTTACACCTTCAAAATATGTTATTGTCAAACATAAACCCCAGTGCTATTTTACAGACCTTGGGAAAAGGGAAGAAAATCCCTTCTACTCATCTCAGGTAGGCAAGGAGGTAGAATATTGCAAAGCGTAAGAAATGACATATAATGGCTTATGAAAGAAAGGGCATCTGAAAGGACATTAAAGGGGAAATTGTTCTCAGCTAAGGACAGAGTCACTGAGGTAAGTCAGAAGGAGAGGAGCTAATCATATCCAGAAACTGCAGATGCATAGATCAGTGTCAGACATACCAGTGACCCTTAGCACAAACCAGCAGGTAGAATAGAAATAAATGAAAAGAGAAGGTTTGACTTCAAAACTGAGAGTTATTACAGGCAGTGCTAAAAATGTCCCCGGATTGCACAGTGCCAAATAAGAAGGTATCCAGAAGGGAAGGGAAAGCAAATCAGGAGAGGATAGAGTGACCTTGCCCCTTCTCCAAGCATTGCACATCCCTGGATTTATGGTCAGCACTGGCAGTTTTGCTCTCTCTGCTAAGTAACTCCTACTCCTGGCCCTTCAACAGTAAGCTGCTGAAGCAATGTAAATGATACTACACCTAAGAGGGAATTTTTATATTTGTATTTCAATAGAAGGAAATAATAACGCTGAAAGCATTACACTTCAAACATAAATTTCTGACATAGCAATATTTATAACAGAAAAGAGGAGAAGAGAAGGGTTTTCCACGAGTCTTGGACCTTACACCACACAAACACAAAGCACACAGATGATCATTTGCACTGCCCTCCTTTTATAGACTGGGAAATGGAACAGAGAGTGAAGTTAATGATAGCAAGATAAAGAACAATCTAGAATTAAACTCATTCTGCCTCCCTGACATTAGCAGGCTTGAACATTTTAATGGAGCTGCGCAGAATAAATACAGGGGAGGTGACATAAATACCATCACTGATTACCTGAACATAAGAGCGTAATAAAGAGCTCATAAAGAGCAATAGAGGGAAGATCTTACTTTTTAAGAAGAATGATGAAGCTGTAAGCAAACACTGCCATTCCAACAAGGAAGTAGGCAAGAGGCAGCCTGTATCCAGCTTTCCCAATCTTCCTGTCACGGCCGTAGTAGCCATAAAACAAAACGGAGTACTGGAGGTAGCCCTGCAAAGACCAGAGACCGTCAGTAAGAGCAGTACCTAAAGATTGCAACAGAACAGCGATAGTGAAACAAGGAAGAGTGGTTTGAGCCTTGCCCCCAGTGACCAGATGGTGTCCAGGTCTTGAGCAGATGCAATGTGCTCCTTGGGGATGGTCTTGCTGACCGTGCTGCCGAACGGTGCTCCGGCCAGTAGCTGGGGAAGAGAGAGAAGGTCTCAGATCTGAGCCAGGGCTGCACAGTGGAACCCAACAAGAGCTGCCTGCACGGACGGTACAGTGTCAGTACCGTGTCAGCTTTAAAAGTTGTGCTTCTTTTAGTGTAAGCATTTTAAAATTAAATGTCAACTTTGAAAGTTGTGCTTGTTTTAGTGTAAGCATTTTAAAATTAAATATGAACAGTGTTTGATCTCAAAAATGGCATTTCAGAACTAAATTATTTTTACTTTGAAAAAGTGAAAAATGAAAGTGAATAACTTTTTTTCTTTTTTTTTTTTCTTTTTTTTTTCCAGTTTACTTTTTGTTTTTACTGGAGTTATTTACTTCTGCTTTAGGCAGTGAGAAGAAAAATCAGAGATTCCCACATTTTTTGTGAACGTTATTAAAGCACGGGATAGGTAAAGCAAAATAACGCTTATGAATAATTTAACAAAATGAAAATGACAGCCTTCTTTCATGCAAAATCTAAAAGTGTTGCCTGTTCAGAACGTCTATGAAATGCTTTCTAATGGACAATAATCCAGAGTCTGGAGAGGGATGTTATGTTTTTCTGCCTGTAAATGACACTAACAGGGCTTGAACATACTAAACACCAACTGTAAATTTTAGGAAGTGCTACTTTATTTTAGTATTCAGATATAAACATATTCTCTAAAAGAATTAGTACCATGTTGACAAAATATCATCTCTAACACTAATAGCAAAAATCCGTTATCCTTTGGCAGAGAGAAACCTCTCAATAGGGGAATTTATTTTAAATAATTCATGTAAAATTGTACATTACAAATTGATGCATGGCTTTAAGTGTCGTGTTTGTTTTCTTCAGCATGGAAAGTGCAGCAGTAAGCATTTTTCTGTAAATATTAACAACATGTTCTTACCTCTGGTAAGACTACAAATGCTCCTGTCATTATGGTAAGTACAATATTGATTCCAAACAGCCATCTCAAGAAAATGAAGTAAGAGGCAACTCCAGACCCAAAATGACCTTAAACCACAGAAAATAGTTACCTGAGTTACACAGTCTATAAAAGCTCATGTCGTTTATCCGTGAAGTTTTATTTGAATACTAGACCAAGAGAAAAACCTCTCTTATTCACATAGGGAACACAGCAAAGTAGAGAAAATGTTAACATGTCACTGAGGAAAACACAATTGCAAACAAATTCTGTTGGGGACGTCTCATAATTATGAGCACCATTTGTGCAAGAAGCTGCCGAGCTGGGAGACATCGTGCAACCATTTTCCTTCACCACTGGAGCACAGAGGTATGACCTGACTTCTGGTGGAATGTTAAGGGCTGCTTTCAAGTCCATTGAAGGACTCAAGGGCAGGTGACGTGGGTTACAACCACATTTAACCCTGGGCAGATGTGGGGCCATTGGCCCAAGGATGCTGCCTCAGGGACTGTGATAAACTAAAACCTAATCTTGCTGTGTTTTCAGAAATACAACAGAACAAATATGACTTCTGCAAAAGCTACCCCCCCAGACCACAAATGAGGACTGTGCAGTTGCCAAGGCACCCAGAGAAGAAGAAGCAGCAAAGTTTTAAATAAAACGTTCACTGCCAAAAATTTGCATGTAACTTCCTCCTAAATATTATTTAATTCAGTACATTAAAAAATAAACCATAGGACTCAGCAATTTAGCAAGTGTTTTACTATTCAATGCCATTAAATCCTTATACTTACTCTCAATTTTCTTTATTCTCATTTCCCAAGGAATAAAGATTACCACAAAATTATATGCAAGTCGAATAAACTTCCTCCAAAGCTGAGAAAAAAAGCAGAGAAATGAGAAATATGACACTTCTCCATGTTAAAAAAAAAAAAATAAAAAAGAAACAGAGTACATTGCTTATGTCTTATCTTGTACCACAAGAATTGTTACAAACATTAATGGACTGAGGTCTGAGAGCACATCTGTGGATAAAGAAGGGTAAAGCAAACCATGATAGGTTTTAGACAAAACATGGGGGGTACAGGATGCCTTGACTCAGTCAAATGCCAACAAAGATGGGTCAGAGTGCCCTTTATTCACCTCTGACGGCACAATCAGAAGCCACCAATCTACATCTTCTGCTCATAAAGACCATGAGGAACCAACAGAAGACAGTGGGTGCCATTCCCTGTTGCCTTCTTGCTGGGACACCTACCCTCTGGGGAGTCTGTGAGGGAATCCTGCTGCACTACACATAATAACTTTGGATTTTTAGGACAAACAAATGAACGGACCACTAAATTCAAATTTAAGAGGACCATGGTGCACTAGAGGAAATTTTCTTAGAGGAAGAATATTCAATAGCAGCAAGTTCAACTGCTATATTTTCAGCCTTCTGTATTACAGCCAACACCTGCAGGAAGCCTATGGTTATATTTTGTAGAGTCTTTATTCAACCTTCATTTTTTGCATGGCCAGGGGACCTTCCTGCACACCGTGGGGTGTGCATACACACATGGGAGAAGAAACAAAATCCACCTGTGCTAAACTGAATGCGGTTTTTGAGTTGTTGAATTTGAGCTATAACTTTACAGTATCAACAGAAAAAATAGTATTTGTATTTCAGGTATTATAAAGTATTTTTAGTACAGCTAGGTATTAAAAATCCCACCTATATTTTTACAGCAGCAGTGTCAATATTATATCATATAATCCAATCTCCTAAAGCCAAAGAGGAGTAAATACTGTTTTAATTACTGAAAATTTAATCAATCTCTTTGGCCAAAGTTAAATAATTTTTATGGTGATGTGGATATTTAATTGCACAAATGGGAAGTATTTTAACAATAAAAAAGAAAGTGCAGATGCTGGGAATTTGCATGGGAATTGCTGGAATTGCTATTTGCAGTTGAAAACAGGGTTTGCAGGGCTGAGGAAGGACTCCATCGGCTTGTGCCAGCTGTAATGCAGATTTATAAAGAATACAAAGGTGTCCATATGGAAGTAGCATTTGTTAAAATTATAATTTGATAGCTATCACCACTTTTCCTCCCTACTGCATACCTGAACAGATAATCTGTACTCTTAGAATCCAGAATATGGGCACCTGGCATTAAATAAAATGTAAAAAACCCTACAAGGGAAGTGTAAAATAATTGAACTGGAAAAAAAAATTACTTTCAGTGTTGAGACAGTAAAAAGTATTTTAACTTCAATTTTCATATGTAATATCATTAGTGGATTGTCCAATTGTGAGCAGTATATATTTTGACAATTAAAAACCTTAATTTAAATGCATATACACCTAACAGCTGCATTTTGTTCTTAGCACATGTTCAGCCACTGAGTTCTTAATTTTGATGACATAGTGCTTGTTTTGCTGTGCTGCAATTTTTGTCTCCTTGGTCACCATGTTATTTTCTAAGAAAATATGTGAAAACAAAGCTCTTCCAAATTAAAAAAAAAAAAAAGAAAGAGAAAACCACAGCTCATTCTGTTGCATTTGCTGAATTTAGCCCTGATAAAAAGGCCATATTCTCTAGTTTCTGCTAGGAAAAAAATACAGATCCTCTACACATAATGAGCAGTACTGATTAACTGCTGAATTATATCCCTGTGCTGAATGTCTTCAAGCAAATACAATAGAGGAAATTAGATTAGACACAAACTTGTATTAGCTGTGAACTCTTAGATGAAAAATTATGGTTTTGTATAGGAAGAGTAACATAAAAAAAATACCAATCTGTGATTTACTGACATGTATTGCAGACCTTTAGCACTTCTCTTTCTAGATAACATCCTAGTTCCCCTCCCATAAAAGGCAAAATTACTGTTTATTTTAACAATGTTTGTTTCTTCCATTGCATTTGCCAAACATGCAAAGACAGAACAAAGAAAACTTACTCTTTATACCTTGGAGAGTAGTGTTTTTAACCTGCTGTGGCCCAACATTGCAGTACAACAGATACATATGCAGCCTTCCACTTGTTCACATGAATAAAATGCGTGGGTATACTATTTATGGATACAACCCTTTTTGAATTAAGATAAGTTAGTTATTAAAAGTCTATTTATTACAATGACAAAAATATTCTTGACTGCTTAGATGACTAAAGAACTCTTTTGTGTTAGTTGCTTATTGGATACAATTTCTTGCATGTTATAAATTTCCAGAAACTCAGGCCAGAGTCTATTTTCGGCGGTGTAAATAGATTTGCTAAGATTTGATTCAAATTGTTTGAGTATTATGCAAGCAAAAACCTTCTTTAACAATGTATTTACCACAAGGTATTGCAGGATTGCCTTCCAAACTAAAAGCTAGACACATTTTTCATAATAAACTATTGAACTGTGGCCCCAGACTATGTTGAAATAGCTCTTCAGGGAATACTGCACGGTGTTATTGATATCCCACTACCTCTCCAGCAGGCATCAGTATTTGTAGACTCTCCAAAAAAAAAAGCCTATACCACGCTGGTAGAAGGACATTCACTTCTCAACACACGAAATTAGTCGGCACAGCAAGCACATGCTTCTGTAAATGAGAAGAGCAAATGGTTGTTGTATAGGCAGGAGCTGAGATTTAAGAAGAACCAGTCGTACCTCTGCACCAGCAGCTTGGTAACCTCTGGTTCTAGTGAGCCTCCCTTCGTACTTCAGCACGATCTCCTTCGCCTGCCTGCACAAGAAGGTGGAGGTTATTCTACATTGATTCCGTTACTCAGGGCCCTTATTCTGCACAAGCAGCAACCATTAGAGTTGTCAAATGCTCTGGAATACAGTCATGGACTGTCTCATCATCAACCATCCATCAATCATCCAGGTAAAGTGGGTTTTACTTTGATTATTGAGGTTTTAACTGATATTTTAAATCCACTCAGAATTTTGCCTGATAGAACTCAGCATTCAAGAGATTGCAGGGAGAATTTTCTGTTTGTCAAATTCTCTGTCCTTTTTTTTTTTTTTTTCAAAATGTTTCTTTTTAAATGGCACAACCTAAATGAGTAAAATTACAAGATCCCCAATACAGACTGGTAACCTCACGTGGATACTAACACGTCTTCTGCAGATACGGTGCAGCTCTCCTGTGAGCTGCAAAGAGGTACATGTTTATCTGGCCATACACAGTCTTTGACCTCAGCAGAAGGTGGATGGGGATCACCAAGATCTCATCAACGTGAGCAGGAAGGCAGCAAGACACGGACTCTGCCTAAGAGAGGAAAACCTCTCTTTGCTTCCCAGATTACACAAGGGCTTTACTGCTGGTAGGGATTCCTCATGACTACATGGTCATCTGAGCACCATACAGGGTTTTATGAGAAAGATGAAAAGAAAAAAAAACCCAAACTAAGCCTCAAACAGATCATGTGGTAAAGAATCTGATACTATTTGACAGGGGGCCCAAAGAGTTACTCACACACACTTTCATTATAACTTTGGAATTATTAATATAATAATTACAGTCTTAAACTGTGGAACGTGTCTACACTGACCATATCTTTAAAACCTACAAGTGTCCTTTATTTACTGCCAATATGTTACTTGAAGATATGACCATCTTCTGTTCCCATACCATGCAATTACCTTAGAAACAGTGGGCTGGTTCTCCTATTTTGGGACACAGTGAAACAATTTAGCTTAAAAAAATTACAGAACATTATCAAAAGCCTTTCTTTAGATCACTGAATAGCTGACACACTGTTTTAGTGGTGACAGACAAAGCATGATTTCTTGCACTCTCTTTTGTGCTGTTACTCTGAAGGGAGTCACAGGCATGTGCAGGGGACAACTTCACCTACAGGCTGTCCACCCCGAGGCTGCTGCCTTCAGCCAGCAATCAGATCATCCTCATGGCACGCTTTCCTAGCAGCTCTTAATCATTTTTTGTGCACAAACCCTTCCAGCTTACACTGGAAAAGTCCTGAGGCTGCAAGCACTGTCACAGTCAGTGAGCCTGAAAACCTTTGTGCAGACACCTTTACCTGAGCGCCCTCAGCTTCTGCCTCATCGGCCACGGCCGGCAGCGGATGTTGGACATAATCTCCTTCTGGTACTGGATGTTCTGGAAGATCTGCTCTGGGTCATGGCTCTCAGCCTTTTCTTCACCGATATCGTCATCTGAGTTGCTGGTAGCCCAGCCCACACCCCACGAGAGGAAAAACAAAACAAATTATTCCCATTCAGATTCCCAGCAAACTGTTGATTTGCACAGGATCCATTCTATTAGAGCAACACAAGAGTAGTGAGCTAGGACACTTGCATGACAATATCGTTTTAAAGCTGATTACTAATTTGAATGAATTCCCCATCTTCAGGATTTGCCTCTTTCCCCCCCACCACTTTCTACTCAGTCATAAATTATCCCCACTCCTCACCACGAATCCCAGTCTTTTCCCTCTGAGTATTTCCAGCCATACAGGTTGTACATCATGCTAGTAAGACTCTGTATATTTTTCTGGAACAGAGTGCTGTATAAACATTTCCAGCAAGAGCACATAACGTTCATTTATTCATCACACCTTTTATTTTGATTGTAGTAATGATAAAATATTTTCTTGTTAGAATGGGGGGAACAGATGATCCAAGTGCAGTCACCTTTTGATCCTGTTCCCTGCTGAGTGGGGTGGCAGTGTGGGACCCCACATACCAAGAATTATTTCTCCCTGTAAAAAGATTGATGAGCTTTGCTACATATTTCTTTAGATGATTAAATTGTCTTTTCTGATGCTGTCACCACATTTGCTAAGTTAGAGCTCCTGCAATTCCTTGTTAGTCTATGAAACAGCAGCAATATTCATTCTTGCAGAGGCTTACATCTAAAAACCTGTGATGTTTCTCCCTGAATGACATGAAGGAATCTGAAGGACTGCAACAGCCACTGGCCAGGAAGTTTCCCATTTGTATTTCTGTGTACTTGTTGGGAAAGTTCCCTGAAATTTTCCTGAAAAAACAACACCTTTTAATCACTTAAAAATAAATCATAGCCTAAACCATGCCATGCAAGAAAATTGACATACTTCATCAGACCACCAGTTCATTGGTCTGCAGTCCTGTCCCTTCAGTCACAGGGGCATTCAAGGGAAATTTATAATTACACAGAAAAAGAATAAAGAGATTTCTTACTCTGCCATGCCCTGAACTCACTGGAGTTACACTGCTTTATGTACAGTGCCTATGTTTCAGCATGAAGCGTGACTTTCCAGAAAATAAAAAGAACCACAGAAGTTTGAAATACATCTAAAAAACAGAGAGAAGAGGCATTTTTCCTATGCTCATTTCCAAGTTACCACACTCCGTCCAAATGAAAGTGAAAAGACAAGATCCCACTACTGTGCTAGATAGAGCAGACTCTCACTTGAGGAGAGACAGGGGAGTCTCTTACCTGTGGGGTGGCTCCTGGTAGGTGTAGATGCCAGCGTGACGCTTCGCCGTGCGGTACTTTTTGCCGGACTTGGCAGATTTGGTGGCAGGGGAGCCCGTCGATGCTGCCATGGTGGCAGCTGCCGCCCGCACCAGGTGGAACTCTGCTGCGCTGGAAGGCAGCTTGGAGCTGAGGTCAGATGTCTCATAAGCAGCCAAATGTTATTAAGCAGAGAGCAGCGAGTGCTGCGAGCCCTGCGGAGCAGAGGATCACTGCCTGGTGCTCCAGCCCGGAGAGGACCTGCTGTCTGGCAGTGCCTTAAAGCCACAGCGTGCAGCAGCCCTGCCTCGGTGCCTCAAAGCCAAGTGCCTGCATCAAGATGAGAAGCTGAGTTCAAAGGTGGTCCAGCTGCAGCCCTTAATTCACAGCCAAGTTTCCCTTGCTGTGGGGGAGGTATTCCCTCAAAGCACCATCCCACTGGCCTGCTCTGGGTGATGTTCCCAGTGATCGCACTGGGTGTACTGTTGACATCTCTGCTTCACGTGCTTGAGAGAAGGTTCTTGCCCAGGTAAAGCAAAATGGTTTACCTTTTGGCCTTTACTCACAGAGTAAAATGCAGTATCGTTCTCCCAACAGAATTCCAGATCCTCTCCAGGATGACAACCCTGACAGAACTTGATGCTGCTGCTTTCCTGGGTCCAAGGCCCGGCCATCGCTTCCATTTCTTTTACCTCAGTTTATTGACTTGCCTCTTGGAGATACCAAAATGCCTTTTATTCAGACAAGTACAGATTACTAAGCCATATGCTTTTTCTTGGTAGATGCAATATCTTAATCATGCTCAATTCCATTAATTATTTTAGTACTTTTAACATTTATAATAAGCACTGACTAGATAATTCATATGTTATAATACTGGTTATTCCTAGAGCTAAACCACTGGAAAACATCACCTCCTAATGCTCTTTTTTCCCCATTTCTTCAGCTCTACTACTTAACTAATTGTATTACAAAACTATTTCAATAGATACTAAAAGTTTATTTAACACAGAGAATCACTTATAAAAACAACAAATGGACTGGTGCTCTGAGCTTGAGAATCCTGTATTGAATGGTTAGTTTCTCTTTCTGTATGTCCTGGGGCAAATCCTTGCACTTTTATGCCTCATTTCCCCTCCTTAGATAACATTTCTGCATTTCATAGGAATGATGTACTCACTGGAATCACATGGGCATGAACTTCCTAATTCACTCCAAGTATTTCAAGTGCATAATAAAACTGAAAACTAAAAAACAGCTTTCGGTTTTGAACATCTCAACCAAACGCAGTACCAGTAGCTTTGACTCAGTTTCCATCTACTCAAAAAGTAATCCATCCATTTATTTAATCCAAGATTAACCATTGGGCAACTGACATACTGTACATGCCAGCAATCATATTTTCATGGTGGAGAGTCCCCTGACATCCTTCCTGTAGTCAGCAACAACACCACCTCTCCAACAGCATCTCTGTGATACTGGCCAGGACAGAATAGACTGCTCCAAGCTCCAAAGCAGCTGAATTTCCCATGCTTTTGTCCATCACAGAAGTTATGGGTATTCTGGGTCCCATTACTGAAACAGAGCACAAAAAATACAAGACTTTAGTAGTTTCTGTGGCCATAATTTGATGCTCAACAAGTTGGAGAGAAAGGAAGAGTTCACAGCAAGTTTTCACTTGTTCCTAACTTGGTATTTTCTCTCCTTAATAGCTCTGTGCACAGTGCAGCAAGGGTTTTGATTGCATAAATCAGTGGTCTGTTGTAGTTAGCTTTTATTTGCAGCCTCTGACAAGAAAGAACATGAAGTTCCTGTAGAGAATTGCACAGGCTGCTTTTTCTCTCTGTCCTGAATTAATCTAAAATATTGCCACTTTTGGAGAAATTTTACTTTTGCATTATTATGGTTCTGTCCACTGTCCTATACTTACTGAGTTGAAGGGCTGAGTAGTCACAATCCTTATTATTTGTTACTTGTATGGTTTTACGGTATCAAAAGAGTAAGTCCATTCGGTGTCATTTACTCCACACTTTTTAGATGAAAAGTCAGCACTAGAAAAAGACAATTCTGCGTTTCCAAAATGTAAGTTTGCATTAAAGCCCAGAGTTCACTTGGTGTATCTTCTTTGAAGTTTCCCCAGAAATCTGGGAGTTTCATTAACACATAGCAGAAGAGCCCCGGAGTTGCAAAGAAATGCTCCTATTCAGAGTTCAGTAAAATCAGTCAGCTGTATTCTGCACCACAGAATGTCATATGATACATGACATTTAAGCCTGCTAAACCCTACTTACTACATGGGTTTATTCTGTAAATGGAACTCTCTAGTTCTAGCTCCATTCTGAGCATCTCTTGTACCCACCTCCTTTAGTCACAATGGAGACTAAAGGCTGCCGACTCCAGTTTTCACATTCCCAAGGATGGACCACAAAAAAACTGTATTTTTTCTGTGCTGCGTTTTATTATTTTTCATTTGAAGTCTGCAAAATAGAGGCTGTTACAGCCTTGACATCTCAATCTTTCTGTACCACTCTAAATCCACAAACCTTTGAATGGCTTTCCTGTTTGGCTTCCAGTTCACAGGACAAAAGATACATCCTACTGTCCTCTCTGTGTCAGACCATTCATCAAGTGAAAGCAAACGGCCAAAAGGAACGGGTATCAGCCCAGAAACACATCTCCATTAAAAGTCATATCACCTCTTTCCAGCTGGAAATACAAAAGAACTACTCTGAATGCCTGAAACACCCTTTAAAGCTTTGATGCTCAGAGTATGGCAAACAAACACACATAACCACTTTTTTTCAACCTGCCACAAGATACGTTTTCAGTTCTGTAACTTAAAAGCAATAACATGTTAGTTCAGATGTATTTCCATGACTGTAGTTATTTTTCTTTGCATCTTAGCCAGTGGCACAACACTGGGGGCCAGATTCTACTGCCTTAGCTCATGAGAATAAGTGCCTCTCTAGTCAGACCAATCTACAGCAGTCCATTAGCTGCCTGCTTGTTCCAGTTATGTGCAAAACATTAATCTCATGTTGCAGATAGATACCTCACTAAGGAAAATTCCCCAGAAAGCAGGTTTTGGCAAATAATAACAACAGATAACATAAACTAGATCTCCAGAAATTGCAGGAGAGGAACACAGATATTTCTCCTTCTGTATTACCATTCCTGCTTCATACTTTTCCCTGAGATTTTGGATGCTCTACTTTTCATTTGAAGGAACCACAGTAGAGGGATTAAGACTTAACATCATCAGTATTTCCTAGGGGTTGCTACATTTCACAAATAAAGCAGTATCCTTTAATATGATGGTGGTATAGCACTATCCAAACCATTAAAACACTAACATTACTGATTTACATAGATTTAATTGGCTAATGTATATTAATGTGTCAACAAGGCAGATAAATTTTGTTTCCCCTTGTTAGAAGAAAGCTTAAAGTCTAAAAAAACAAAGGGACAATTTAAGTCTGACATTTATACAACCCTAATACTGCCAGTGCTCGAGGCACATACATCATACAAAGTTACTACCAAACACTAAAAGCACAATGAGCAGCAGGAGACTTATGAATTCAGAGCCCATCTGACAGGAGGGTGCAGAGTGCTTTGTAAGAGAAAACAGAAAGCAGCCTTCAAGAGCTTAGCCCTGAAGTTGGTGACATCCTCCGTTGCCCATGATCCCTGCAACTGCCTCTTTAGAGAACTCGAGTGTTAGCTCAGACCACAAAGAGGTTTTTGGTTTTGCTTTTCAACTCAGCAAGGAGTTTAGCAGCCAGAACACCCAGCTGCCCATTTCAATATGCTCTATTGAATCCAGAAACCTACTGGGGTTTGTTTTACTCCAAGTGAATACTACGGGAGTTATAGATTTGATTTCATTTGCCATTAACTGGATGTAAAACAGGACATTAACCTTTTACTGCAAAACTTGCAGCTCTCTGTGCGTAATAGGAAGCCTCACATTTGATCCATAGGATCATTTTGCATTTTCAAACACTTACCCAGGAAAAAGCTGGGATGGTGAACTCTGCTTACTGAAAACTCAGGGAAACAGGAGGCTATATTCCTTTCCATATACTCTATTCCTATAGAGTTACAGTTTGAATTTTTCCCCTCATTCCAGCAGTGCAGTCAAACTCTGGGACCTTTTCAAAATACCCCTGCTCAGGAGGTTCACAACATTGCTGATGCCAAATTTCAAGATAAAAAATTAAGAAAGGGACAAGTTTTCCAGTCATCTCTGTAATAAAGAGAATATTATCTCTACAGATTCTTGAGCACATAAAACAAGTGGGGACAAAAGTATTTGGAAACACTGAAAAAGATGACTTGTGTATCTTTAAATGCTTAAAGCATTTGATCCCATAGAAACCAGTGATAGGTAATGATGCTGTGCAGCATCCAAGGTTGTGTGAAAACACTGAATCTCCTCTTGGCTTCAAGACATTCACTTTTAGAGCTGAAAAAAACTGAGATCAAAAGGCAACCCAGCTGGATTTCAAAGACAAACATTCCCTGCTCAGATTACAATCTCAGCTCACCTGTTTAGTCCCCAGAGATGACATAGACGTGCAGATGGACGTAAGAGCAGTTATGGGATTTCCAGGGTAACAATGGTAAAGCCATCGTCTTCACTTACTGAGAGTAAAATTGATCTACTGAGCTCTGTTAAATCATTGTCACCCCATAGGATTGTTTGGACAGTTTAATTTCATACAGTACGTCTTGCTCTTCAATTTCAGCATGTTCATAACTCTTGCTGACATTTATCACACTTGGATCAAGGGGAATACTCCCATCGTGGTTCAATTTTCTTTGTGAATTCACATCCCACATAAAAAATATTCCATTTAAAAGGCTCCTCCTGTGAAGTTAACTGATCTTACAGCATTATATGATGACTATTTTTATTCTTGGATGAGTACTATGACTATTAAAATATACATTTCTCTGAGAGTACAATCCACAAGAGAATATACTGAAATCAGAAAATTGCCAAGAGTGTTTTAGAGGCCAGTGCTAAGACAGCAACTAAGGATAAAAATAAGGAAAACAAAGAGGGGCTAAAGACAAACAGAAACAGCCACATGCTGAGCCAAGCACCCATGGTGGGGCAGAGAAGGCTCCAACAGCTTTTAAAGCCAGTTCAGCTGATGTGCATGGCTTGCAGCATTGCCCTGGCTTTGCATGGCACATCATCCCTGGAACTTGCAGCTCTCTACTTTCAGGGGGCAAAAAATTAATTAGACACCATCAGAAAACTTATTTTTCCAGGAGCACACATAGGCTGTAGCTACTTCTGCCATCAAGAACTCTGTGTTTTGTGCAGCTTTGCCTATCCAGCAATACAACATGCATCTCACAGACTTATGCATTTCACCAGAGACCTTTTTGAAAGCACTGTAACCAAATTATTTTCCAGGCTTATGTGAGTCGTTACAAGCCAGACCTAAGAGTCAGTGAAAATGAAGAAGATAATTTTAGAAATTAAATAAATAAATAAATTTAAAAAATAAATGTCTCATTTTAGAAGAAGAGAGGAAGAGTTCCAGAAGCTGACAAAGGCAAGAAGTAACTGAATAGTCAGGGCTTTCTAGTGATGATACTTGGGACAATATGAAAGTCAAAAGCCTGGAAGAAGTAGAGTGTGTCTGGAGCAGATACCATAAAAGATCTTTTTCCAGTTTCCTTGTATTTTGTATCATCCACTCAATTTCCCAGCCTTAAATTACACTTTAATTTTAGAGGACCTTTGGCATCTAGTTAGATTAGTTCACCTACATTTATTGCGTAATGTCCTCACAGAAGAGATGTTCATAAAAAATGGGAGAGGAAATCCAGATCAGGTTAATTCATTGCATGAAGAATGTTAGTAATTCTATTACTGCATCACCTAGGAGGTTGTTTAGGTACACAACATTAGCAAACAATAATTATCATTTGTCCAAGGAAAAAACACAAATATAGCTACTCAAATTACTGTCTGCAAAGAGATGGTCTGCACCTCTTGCTCTCCAGGATATTGCAAAAGCCGTTTGTACCAAGCTGTGGTTACATGATCACCTGAATTCAGCACCTCTGCG